ATAGTCTAACTTTACACATTTTCAGACTTAATTGTTGTCTGATTATAAGACAACTAATTTGCCACATTGGATTACTTAAGATTTAGCAGTGACTGGTTTGTGTGAAAGGTCCTTATGGTGAGCAATGCAAACTGTATTCCTTCAGTCTCTTCTTTAGATCATACTGCAGCAAGATAACTTCTAAAAGCATGCTGGTTATGTTTTTGGGATAAAACAAATTCCTTTGCATTTTTCTTCTTAGCAGTTTTTCCTCCTGCTGCTCAGATATGCAGGGAAATAAGGCTATTCCTATGGTATGGCAGGAGAGTGATGAGATTAAGGATGAATGTGATGCGAGATAAAAAACGAGAAGGTTGGGGCTGGGAAGGTGGCTCAGTGGTAGAGCACTTGCCTTGCATGCATGAGGCCCTGAGTTCGATTCCTCAGCACCACATAAGCAAAAAGAAAAAAGCCGGAAGTGGCGCTGTGGCTCAAGTGGTAGAGCGCTAGCCTTCAGCTGAAGAGCTGGGGGACAGTGTCCAGGCCCAGAGTTCAGGCACCACGACCGGACCCAAAAAAAAAACAAAAAAAACCCCCAAAAAACCAAGAAGGTTGGGAAAGAAAAAAGTGTGAAGATAGTGAAAAGAATTATGGCATGAAGGTAAAAAATGTAAGTGTAATATAGGAGAGTATTGAAATGGACATCACAGAACCGAAAAAGCTGTTTCAGAAACACTAGCATGAATGTAGTGCAGCTTTAATTAAGTGATGTCTCAAGGTTATTTTACATTTACTAATAGTAAAGAGAACAATTTGTAGCGAAGGTAACAGGAATTTGTTACACTAAGAAAGAAAATAGGAATAAGAAACCATTTACAAAAAGTTGACAAGGTAGAATATTAAAAAACAGTAAGTTTATGAAGGGTGAAAATAACAATATAGCTATTAAAAATTATTAAAACTCCTCAAATGTGACACACTTTTATATATGCAGGTTATGCAACAATGCGTAAACACATTCATGAAAGTCTAGAAGTTTGTCTGTACTCATCAGCTCAGTATTGAAATGAAAATTTACCATCATTGAAGAACTTAACCTTGAATAAAAACTTAAATGTTTCAGATGTATTCTTAACTTGTAATACAACTACAATGTGAACTTCTGCTATTGAATTAATGAGTAGGATGCTATAAAGTTTGTAATCTAAGGTTGAAGTCTTCCCTCTGTTCATAATCTGTTGCTATTATTCTGTTGTATATATTCAGGGAAGATGATAGTAAGCATAATATAAATACGAAAAATCTAGTCAAATAGGTATCATTGTGGATAAATATATAAATGATTATTTTTTCTTTCCTTTTTTGTGGTTCTGTGATTGGAGCTCAGGTCCTTGGGCTTGATAGATGTTCTTTTATTTGCGCCATGTCCCTACTTTTTCTTTTTCTGTTTGTTTTATTTTTCATGTAGGGTCTTGTGTTTTAGCCTGGATCAGCCTGAGATTACCATCATCCCACCTAGGCCTCCCACAGAACTAGGAGTATAAACACATACCATCATGCTCAACTTGTTTGTGAGATAGGGGTCTTACAAAATTTTTCCCTAGGCTAGCCTCAAACCATAGTCTCAAGCTACTTCTGAGTAAGATTACACGCATGAGCCACCGTGCTTGTTTCCCCCAAAATTACTTTTCTTATCACCCTATCATGTCTTCCTTCCACCAGTTAGGAACTTCTCTTTTTGCAGACTGACTTAAGCTTCTTAGTTTGCTATGTAGAATCAACCGCTCCTTCCTCTGTAATTATTTTGTGTAAAATAACTATGGACAATAACCATCATTATAATAGCTAGAAAATATTGGTTTCATTATAAAATTTTTACATGTATTTTATTTATTCACCTTTTCTAAATTATTTTGTAACTTATCCATGTTTGTCTTTTTTTCAAATAGACCTCAACTGTGTTACTTATTCATCTTTATATTCTTGGTGTACAGTAGTATGTCTGGGAATGTAAGTGCTTAGATAGTCTATGTATAAATGAATATTAAAATGTTGCTCTTCAATACTGGTATTAAAGATAATCCATAGATCATAATTGTGATTTGTGTACATAGAATAAAGAAGGATCAATGTGAGTAGAACTCAAGAACTATGAAGAAATTACAAGTTTCCTTTCTACGTTAAAGAGAATTCTATAGATATATCAGAATTGGTAAAACTGGAGTCAAATGCATAAATGTATAAAATGTTTTAGTCCATAGTATTGATTGCTTTTTGCATTTATGACATAAGCACAATGTGACTGTTTTTATAAATATAATGTAAGAAATATAGGTAAAATAATCATGAAAAGACCAGTGTGAGCTAGAAATAAAATTTATTTGTCCTCGCATTTATTTATTTATTTATACTTAACTGACTTAATGAATTATTTTAAAAGGTGTATTATTTGTACAATTTAAATTTGTCTTATCTCTCTATTTAAAAAAATTACCTGCAAGTAGTCGCACAAAGGAGTTGCTGTTTAACAAAGCAGTTCATGAATGCAATGTATCTTCAGCAATTTCCCCTTTCAATCTTCTCCGTACCCATCCTTCCCCTACCCACCCCTTCCTTAATTTTTTTTATTTTGTAGGATACACATTAAATCTTCGCTGCTCTTCCCCTCTTCTGCTTTCCATTTGCCTACCTCTTTCCCTTCACTCCATCCCAGACCCTTTAAGTACCAGCTTCCTAGTGTTTATTTTGTTGAACTTCGTTATTTAAATATTTTAAAATTTATATGCTTTAAAATGGATCTCATCAAAACTTTGGAGCTGCATATTTAGCTCATTCAGTCATGAAAAATGTTCACTATATAATTTGTTTAAATCAGTCATCTGATTTTGTTTTTAGATTAAATGACTATGTTAATATACTCCATGAAGATTATTTCACTTATAAATTTCAGTTAAGAGATAGATATACAAATGGATTTATAAACAGGAAGACTGATAGAGCCTCGCCAAAGATGATATAAGCATATTTTCTTCAATTTTTCTTGCTTTGCTGCTAAGGTTATTATTTCCCAGTGCCAATGTTTTCTTGAATTGACCCTGTGCTTTATGTCTTGAGGAGTTTTACTCTTTGGGATGGTATACCATAACACATTTTGGGAAAGGTGAGAGGTTTGCTTTCTTTTTTAGCAAGTAGGAACAGGGTAATGGGAAAGAGGAAAGACAGGAAAACTAGTGGATTGCAGATTGGTTTCCAGAAAGGCAAGTATGGGTGTTGAGAAATTAGAAATAAATTCTGTTTAAACATCTATATTTGCATTACTTGTGAAAAGTCTTTGCTTACATTTTCTCAGAGACTTCTGGAATGAGTTGTGTCTATGTAATGTAATAGGCTAGCACATGACAGTCACAAGATAAATTGATTGCGACACCTGAAACATACTTTCAGGTACTTTCATGAGTATACCACTACTCTCTCTATATTTTGCATTTAAGAGTGTTCCCAAACACTGCAATTTCACAGTTTACAAACTGTTAAGAGAAGAGAGAGGTTGAATATATGAATGATTAGGAGAAAAGAAAATCCCTTTCCTGAGATATGAAATGAATAGAATGAAGAATATGAAATTCTGAAACTACAGAGGGAATTTGTGGGATTTTAATACATTCAATAGCACCATTAATATAGCTAGTTGTAGTTTTTTCCCTTGAAATAACATGTATATGTTGATTGATGATTAAGAATGCAACTAACTACTAATTCCTAAATATTGACTAAAATTTCTTTTTTAAAATTTAGAATTCTCCATAGTTTATGAAGCTTTACAGTTTTTAAAAACATGAAAACCTTATTTATTGTACAAAACAGAGAAATAAAAGATTTCAGTCTTTTAAGTATTTTTTAAAATTCTTACTCTAGAATTTCTGCATCTTATATTTCAAGATTAGTGTGTAAGGATATCTAAAAACGTTCGAAATAAATGGTTCAATATTGACTTAGCATTTTAAATGTGGCAATTTTAAGCTTGCACTATTATTTTATGAACTCAATAGTTTGTACTGAGTTATTGTGAAAGACAATATTAGAATAAGTCTAAGATTTGAAAGCATCTGTTGGGCTATTCATCTAGACCTTTATTGAATCACTTAAGAAGTATTTCATTTTCTTGTTTTGTCAGCAGTATAGTTTGAACTCAGGGTCTCCTACTTGCTTGGCAAGTGCTCTGCTGCTTGAGCCACAAACCTCCAGCACATTTTGCTTTAGTTTATTTTTCCAATAGAGTCTTATGCTTTTGTCTGAGTTAACCTTAGACTATGATCATTCTATGTATGCCTCCCATGTGGCTGACGTGAAGAGGTATGTTCCACAATGCCCAGCTTATATTTCCTGAGGTAGGATCTCACTAATTTTTTTTTTTTTGGCCTGGGCTGTCCATGAATCATAACTCTGCCAACTTTTACCTCACAAGTAGCTTGGTATATAAGAGAGAGCCATCAAGCTCGGCCTCACCAATTTGTATTTAATGTTGCCCTGCATATATACAAGCAGAAAAAATATATAATACCATCTTAATTCCCATTTCTGAATTACACTGTCTTGTTTTAAGTGGTGTTAGATGTGAAGGAACTTCAAATTGTGCATATAGTTAAAAAATACCAAATATAATGTGTGGCTATAAGAAAATATTCTAGGCAGTTTGCAGGAGATTGTTATTTAAAGGCTGCCTGCAGAGAAGCTATTCTAGATTCAAAACAATATGGTAGATGGTTTTATGAAATTTTCCATTACAAAAATCCACTTTAACCTTGCCTTTTTACTGGCACATATTGTGTTGATCTGCAGCCAGCTCTGGCCCCCAGAGTGCTTACAGTGCTGGCTTTCCAACTCGCTGCTCATAATCTCATTGATTGTCCTTTGACAACCAGTGAGTGCTCCAACAAAGAAATATGCTAATATATACCAATTATTTTACAAGTTTGATCAGATTACAAATTTTTTTCTCTTGTTTTTTTTTCCTTACCTAGGTATGATATCTGCACTTACAAAAATAAGCCTTGTGGAACTTTGGGTAAGTTTAGTTATTTATTTCTTAATAAATAAATAAATACAAACAAAGTAATGCTAATTTACATTGTCTTCTTGGACTAGTGACTTTATTCTTTATTATCTTGGTCATTTGAGAGCCAGTGAAGGCAACCTGTATCCCAGGGTGTTAAAGAAAAGGAAAAAAAAATCTGGGAATACTTAAATGGAAGGCATCAAGAAATGTATATATATATATATATATACACACAATATTTATACATATTACATATATTACATATTTACATATATTTTTATATATTTATATATTTTGGTTAGTTGTGGGGCTTGAACTCAGTGTCTGGGCACTGTACTTGAGCTTCTCTGCTTAAGGTTAGCTCTCTACCACTTTGAGACACAGCTCTACTTCTGATTTTTAATATGGTTGTTTGGAGATGAGTCTCATGGTCTTCCCTGCCCAGGCTGGCTTTGAACTGCGATCCTTAGATCTCAGCCTCCTGACTAAGGTCACAGGAGTGAACTCTCAGTGCCCAGCAAGAACAATATGGTTTTGGTACAATTTTGTGGAAAGAGTACATACCTCTGATGTAAGACATTAAGATTTTATTTAGTACCCAAATAAAAATGAAAAACAATTATAGGTGGAAGTGGAGAGAGAAAATAGGACTATCATCTAAAAAGCATTTGCTTTTCAGAAAAGCATTTTTTGTAGTACTAGGGAACTAAAAAAAAATTGTGTGTTTTACTAGAGAACATTGCTCAATTATTGGTTGAAAGTTAACGACACAAAAAATGGGAAGGGCAGGAGGTAATGGTGGCTTTCCTGGAGGCAGATAACTAGACAATCAGTATTATTTCAAGGAGCAGGAGCTTTTTAACTAGGATAAAATTTTTAGTGTCAAAAGGGCTTTTGTAAAGGCCAAATGTAATCCAGTGAAGATAAATTTTGTGGTTTCTCTAATACAAGTCTTTATACCCAGACATACATAAACACACACACACACACACACACACACACACACACACACACAAATAAATAGCTAGGAAATAATTTCCCATGTACATCCTAATTATTTTAGGAAAATCCAATTAAAGTCAATTTTGGAGACTGTCATACAAATTCCTGAGCAATTCAGTGAAACATCTCTACAGAGAATGGAATTTCTTTTATGATTTTTTTTCCTTTTGATGATTTTTACCTGTCTTCTCCTACTCTCATTTTCCTGAAGATTTATAGCTAAATAAGCAATCCATGTAGCCAGTTCCAAGCACTAGCCATGAAGAGGTTTACTACATAAAACATTTAACACAGGAAAAGCTCTCTTTGCTGAGAGAGCTTACACCAAGAGCTTACACACTTTGTAGTGTTTTTGGTTAATAAGATCAGTGGAGGGAACCCTGAACTGAAAACTAACTGAATTTGAGTTTCTGTGTTATTACTATTTACAGTTTATTTTCTGATCCATGAAGAATATCTGCCCTTTAGTTACAAGAACATTATTAAAATAATTCAAGAAGAAAATACATGTGTTTAGTTATTACTTTTTAATAATTTAATTTTAGTCAAGTTATTACTTTTCTAGTAACTTTCATGGTGTATTTTGTATTGAGTTTTGCATATTCTCTAGCCAGTTGTAATTGGCTAATTAGTTTTAAGGGTGTAAACTGTGGTCATCAAACTGAGGAAATCTAAGTGACCCAAATAGTAACCAAACTCCTATTAACACTATCACACATAACGGCTTTCACAGTTTCAATTTTATAGGGAATTCAAAAATTGAGGGAGCTATCAGCTGCACTGGACATAGATGAAAATGAACTAACTCAAGGCAGTGATGGGAAGGAGGGAATAAGAGGGAAAGAGGAAATAGCTTACACTAAGCAAAAGGAAAGAAATGTAAATACCACCTGATGTGGAAGAAATAGTTGTATCGTCAAGGATCATACAATTCACAAACTATATAAACCATGATAATGACAATTTGCCTTGTGAAGGTAAAAATGTGTTTGTGACTGTACCTAATACTGTGAAATATGTGAAAATTATGTAATCACCTAATCTCAATAAAAAATTTAAAAATGGAGGGAGCTTGTGATTATATATTAGTGTTTAAAATATTCTCATTTTTGTTCAGATTCGCATTTATGTTTCATCAAATAGTTGTTTGTCAAATTTTCTTTCTTAAGAGGTTCTTTGAATAAGAGTGAATAATTTTATATCAGATAGCCAGAAGTAAAAATCTGAGCTTGTAAATATATCTCAGGATATCATTGAGAATTTTCATTGAAAATAGAGCCTGTAGCATATACTCAAAACAAAACAAAACAAAACCCCAAAGCTTTAAAAATTAACAAACAAAAAACCCCAACAACATCCCACTATAACACTGAAACCATAAAACCAAAAATCTTTCCATGGAATAATATATTTGGGGGAAATACAAGAATATTAATAAAAATTATACTTAATAATTTATTTTATTTTTTGTTGGTTGTGGGTCTTGAACTCTGGGCCTGGGTGCTGTCCTTGAACTCTTCAGCTCAAGACTAGCACTCTACCACTTGAGCCACAGAGCCACTTCCAGTTTTCTGGTGGTTAATTGTATATATGAGTCTAATGGACATTCTTGCCAGGGCTGACTTTGAACCGTGATCCTCAGATCTCAGGCTCCTGAGTAGCTAGGATTACAGGCATGAGCCAGCCACTAGCACCCGGCTTTCGTAATTCTTTTTTTTTTAATTAATTTTTTATTGTGAAAATATGGCACAGAGGGGTTACAATTACTTGAGCAAGGTAATGTGTACATTTCTTATCAAGCATTGTTGCCTCCTCCTTTGTTTCCCCTTCCCATCCCTGCCCTCCCATCTCCCCCCCTCCCTCCCTGTCCCCCTCACCAAAGTTGTGAAGTTCGTTTTTCGTCATAGCATCTTGTACATATCATTGTTGCAATGGGCCCATCTGTATCCCTATTTAAACAATTTGTTTTTTTCCCTTCCCCTCCACAAATTATACCAACATCAAATACAGTGAAGACAGGGGTTATACCATGGGGGAGGGACATACAAAGCAACAAAGAAATCATCTTATAAATATGTTAGAAACAATAGCAAGAAAGAAAAAAAAATTGAGTCCTTATCTTGGCTGGGAAGGTGGCTCAGTGGTAGAGCACTTGCCTTGCATGCATGAGGCCCTGGGTTCCATTCCTCAGCACCACATAAGCAGAAAAGACCAGAAGTGTCGGTGTGGCTCTAGTGGTAGAGTGAGGGACAGCACCCAGGCCCAGAGTTCAGGCCCCGCAACTGGCAAAAAAATAAAATAAAATAAAAAAATAAATCTTAAACTGCATTGGTTCAAAATACAAATAGTATTCACCATGGTTTTGTTCTTCTCATGTAATGGGCATCATTGAACCCAGTAGCTTAAAGCTAGATGGTGTACCACGAGTTTATTGGATTCTCATTCTTGTGTGTGTGTGTTTTTCCCTTAATGGAAATTAGAAGTAATCTTTACTACTACTACTACTATTATTACTTTTTTTGTTGTTGTTCCACTCTTTGGGCTTGAACTCAGGGTCTGGGTGCTGTTTTTGAGTTATTTTGCTCAAGTCTAATAATCTATCACATGAGACACAGCTCTATTTCCAGCTTTTTGGTGGTTAATTAGAGATAAGAGTATTATGGACTTTTCCTGCTAAGGCTGGCTTTTGAACTACAATCCTCAGATTTCATCCATCTGAGTAGCTAGGATTATAATGATGAGCCACCAGCACCTGGTATTATTAAATATTTTTGATTAGCTAAAAAATTAATTACCCCAACGGGTTGCTCTTTTTACATCATTTTTTTTAAAGTCTCAAGACCTTTAAGTTAAAGGGAAGGGCAGGATATTGACAATATTAATAACTACTGAGGCAGAAATCCACTCTGTCCCTAACTCTTGCCCATCCCTTATAAAATAGTGGGAAAAGCAAACTATTAGTAGTCCAGCTAACCTCAACTCTGTTACAATGTTCCAATAGTTAATATATTAGATATTTGTATTGGATAATAACCCAGGCGCTGGTTTTGTACACCTATAATCCTGTCTACTCAGGAGGCTAAAATCTAGAGAACAGCAGTTTGAGGCCAGCTCAGGAAAATAAATTCAGACTCTATCTCCAAATAATCACCAACAATAAAGGCTGGAGGTGTAGCTCAAGTGGAAATTTGTCATCTGATTGAGCAAGCCAAGCAAATATGGGTTCAAACCCCAATATCAATGTAAAGGAAGAAAGGAAGGATGGAGGAAGAAAGAGAAAATAAAAAGAAAATATAGAGAAATACAACTTCTAGAGCTTTCTGTCACTTAAAAAAATACAGATTTAATACCAATCAGTGTTCTCAATTAGTGGATTGTACCTAGCACAGAATGTTGCTTATTGTACTCAGTAAATATTCATTGAATTGAATTGAAATAATTTTTGGCAGGAAGGTAATTCTTAATATTTGAGTGACATCTTCTAAATAACTTTTCATCTTTGTGTGTTGTCTGATTTGGCATCAGTTTCTTTATAATAGATGACATTTTTTTCTTTGGCACAAAAATTATTTTTTCTAATCACTAGTATAAAGTTCTCTACTAATTCATGAAGCATGATATTCATTTAGAAGTAAAATTTAAGGCTTTTGCATACTAAAATTCCCAAGAGGAGAATACCTCAAATAAAAAAAAACCTTTCACTAGAATCAGTGAATTAACACCATAGTTTTTGATTTATTGGTGAAACTCTAATGCATTGAAGGGTGTAGAAGAGAGAAAAACTGCACTGAGATTGTGAATGACTTTCTTCCCATTAAAATATTAAAAGAAATCATTGCATTACCATCAGGATCAATTCCAGAAGATTAAAAAAGTGCAAAAACCTCCCATTTTTCACAATTCTTTTTCTCTTTTGAATCATTCATTTTGTTTTGATAAAAAAATGTCATTAAAAAAAACATTTGGGATTCCTCCTCTTTTTTTGGTAACTAAAAAGTTGCTTGTATATTTTTATGAATCCACTAAATTTAAACAGATCTCTTTAGAAAAATAATGTGAATATATTTTGCTTTCTACAGTCTAAAGAATGTTAAAATAGAAATGCTTTCTTAAATTCCCTCTTCTGGCTCAAGTTACTAGGTGGTCCCAAGTTACCAGAAGTAAAATTTATAAATCTAACCCCTAGTCTAGACATTTTCCAGCACTGACTGCAGTTCAAAAAATATTAATGTCTAGCCTGCAAAGTGAAATTCCCCCCAGTGATTTTGCAAATGACTAGAAAGTTAACCTTTTGCCAACTGCTCCTTCTGTGCATGGAGGTTATTAAAAAGAATCCAGGCATTTATAAAGTATGGGCTTTTAAAGACTGAAACACCTTGGCTTGACCCTTTGTGTCTCTTTCTGTTTATTCAGGCTTGGCCTCTGTGGCTGGAATGTGTGAGCCTGAGAGGAGCTGCAGCATTAATGAAGACATTGGCTTGGGTTCAGCTTTTACCATTGCACATGAGATTGGTCACAAGTGAGTGAATTTAAGAAAATCAAAATAAATTTTAGAACTCTACTCTTTGAGCCTCTTGTAACTACTGTTTGGAAAGCCCATGCTCAACTATATTTTATAGAGGTTTTTTTTTTTTTTGCCTGATTTCAGGAGACACTTATCATTTGGAGAATTGAGATGAATGGTTCACAGAACTGGAGACTGTTACATAACTTTTGTGATTCAGTAACTAGTATCCTCAGTGGTAAATGCACCAGACTTACATATTAAAAAAAAAATATATATATATATATATTTGAAACACTTTCACTTTAGCTTTTTCTCCAATTTCCAGGTCTTTATAAAGCCCAATGATTTAAACTTTGTTTTCTTCAACTAACAATACATATAAAATTTTGACATTACTATCATAATACTCTTATAGTTTCATTCTTCATGCAACATACCTTTTCCAGAAATAAAATTGGGGCAATCATTATGATGTTACTTGTATGTCCAGGCACACTTGCATATCATTGGTCTTTGAAGCACTGGGCATTTTTAACCTTTGTTTTTAAATAAATCATGCCAGTGGAGAAACTATCATATGGCTTTTCCCCAATCTTCAAATGGCAATAAAACTCTTCCTTTATTTCAAACTACAGGCAAAAGTTAATGTAAAAGCCTATTCATGATGGGGCAGGTGCAAAAAGTTTGACAATATTTTCTCCTACATTAAAAAATTGGGGCTTATAAGACTAACATGTGACTTGTCATTAATTAGTCATTTTAAATGTGAGTCTAGTGCTCTTGAAAGGTCAAAAATAAATACAAGATTCTCTGAGATGCAGTTTTTTTTAAAAAAGAAAACTCTTTTACTCTGGAATAGAAACCATTAATCTTTAGCAAAAAGCAACATGTCTGCTAACAAGAAAAAATGAAAGTCTCTTAAAGGATAGCTGAGCATTTTTACATAAAACAGCAGTATATATGAAGGAATTTCTGATTTTTGTACAATCTATGTTTTATAATCTTTTTGTGAAAAAAATCAATGAGAGTTAACAAAAGTGATTATTTTTTGCTTCAGAAGTAATTCCTTAGTTCCCTCCCTCCCTCCTTCCCTCCCTCCCTCCCTCCCTCCCTCCTTCCCTCCTTCCCTTTCTTCCTCCCTTCCTCCCTTCCTTCCTTCCCTCTTTATTCTTTCATCTCTCTTCCATCGTTCCCTTCTCTCCCCACCCCCCTTCTCTCTTACCTCCTTTTTCTTTTTTCCTTTTTTTGTCAGTGATGGGGCTTGAACTCCACCTGAACACTGTACCTCAGCTCTTCAGCTCAAGGCTAGCATTCTACCACTTGAGCCACTGTGCCACTTCTGGTTTTCTGAGTGGTTTATTGGAGATAAGAGTCTTTGAATGGTGATTCTCAGATCTCAGCCTCCTCTGAGTAGCTAGGGTTACAGGTGGGAGCCACTATCACTTGGCTTTCTCTCACCCCTTTCTTGTCTAGAGTAAAGTTAGGTTAGTTTGTTGTGATCTTATCTTTAAAATAATATAAATTTGGAATTGATATAAATTCAGGCAAATTTCAAATCTGACTTGATTTAGACACACAAAAAGTCAATATTAAAGACTTCACTACATTTTTAGTGAAGTTTTTAATCATCAGGACAACAATAAGCAAAACCAGGCAGCTCATCATTAAGTCAAACATCTTGCTCAAGCCATGTGTACTGGTTCACACTGAAATCCTATCTACTTGGGAGGTAGCCATCAGGATGATTCTAGTATAAGAAAAACAGGAAAAACATTCACAAGACCATCATTTCATCCAATCAAAAACTGAGTGTAATCATGTACAATTGGCACCTCAGCTATGAAGAAGTATAAATAGGAGGACTGTGATCCAGGAGTGATCCAGCATACATACAAGACCCTGTTTAATAAAGTGATGGAAGTCAAAAGGGCTGGGGCAACTGAGCCCCTGCCTGACACGAACAAGGCCCTGATTAAAAGAAAAGAAAAGAACAATCTGGCCCATTAATGACTGTCATGCCATTATGCAACTTAATAGGTTCTGTTAGGTTCAATTATACTGAAAGTTTCAGACAAATACCATACAGTGGGAAAATAATGTGTATATGAAAGCTCTATTATCTCACGTAGTTATGAGTGGGTGTTCACATACACATTTTATGTTTTTACCAGTTTTTGTACTTAAATAAGTTGTTAGGGTTTATCTTTAAATCATTTAAGATCTTAACTGGGATATTTCATATGTCTTAGTTTTTTTTTTTATTTCTGCCCATCAAAGAGTTCTTTGTGTCTCCATCTTCTCCTGCCTCCTTTCCTTTACCTTTTTTAGTTCCTCTACTTTCTTTAATTTTTTTTTATTATCAAGCAGTTTTACAAATGTATTACAATTCCATAGCCAGGTTGTGAGGATAGTGCATCTTGATCAGTGTCAGCTCTTCCATTATTAAGGTTGTTTTGTTTGTCTATTTCTTTGGCCTTATGAAGAATTTCTTGGAATTCTTCATAAGATGAGTGATTTCTATCTTATGTGAAAATGTAGAATATACTTCTTGTTTTATTTGTCTTGAAGTAATTAATTTTTACAATTAGTTCTCATTTGAGACTGTGCATGGAGAAAAACAAATCTAGTATAATCCTGAGAGCCAGAAGAATGTTTTCATTCAAAAATGTAATTTGATATGAAAAGTTATTTTCTCCATGTCTGGCTGATTTATATTTCTACTCTGTTATCCTTCTACTCTCCTTTTCCTAGATATCAAATCAGGATATATTTAGCATATTATATTTATCAATATACCAAATTACTATTTGATTAGAGAAAATCTGTTTTATGGCTGAAGATAACCCTACTTGCTCTTAAGATCTTAGAGTTTTGCTTTCAGCAACTCAACAGGTTAACTTATGATGGGAACTGGGAATGAAAGTGTCTGGAATATGTCTTACAATTAGTGTGTACATTAACAGTGATATTACATCAATCTCAAATAGGTATAGGGTAATTTTTTCATTATTTAGGCTTTAGTGGCCAGTTATTTTTTCCATCCCTTTGTAAAGACTAGAAATTAGTTTCCTTGTCAAATAAAAAATTTGGAGTGTGTTATATTTAAATATGTCTAGCTTCAATGTTGGTTATAAGCCAAAGGCACTTAGTGAAATCTTATAGGAAAGAATGTTCCTTGAAAGATTGTTGAATTAATTGTATAATTGTCATGGGTTTTAGAAACCGAAAAAATGTGTGAAAGAAGGATGGCAAGAATTCAGCCACACATCTAGTGTATTCAGACTAATGTGCAGCAAAGAGAACCTGGGCTCCGGTAGCACATTCCTATAATCCTCGCTATTCAGGAGGATGAGATCTGAGGATCAAGGTTTGAAGCCAGCCCAAGGAAGGGAAGTCCGAGAGACTCTTTTCTCCAGAAGCTGTGGCTCACATGGTACAGTGTTAGCCTTGAACAAAAAAGCTCAGGGATAGAACCCAGGTCCTGAATTAATGCCCAGGACCTGCACTATTTTTTTTTTTTTAAGAATCTTAAATGACCCATTTTTGCAGGGAGGAAATACTGGGGCATCATGCTTGCTAGGCAAATACTACATGACTTGAGCCATATTCCTGCTCCAAAATTCGTTTCTTAAGGATGCATATTGAAGTATGTGAAACTAAAGTCACAGGATATCTAAGACTTGCTTCCAAAAGAAAAGGAAAAAAGACAGAAAGCATAAGTGACAACATCAGATTTTGTAATTTTGATGATGTATGTTTGTTAGTGCCTTTCTCTGTTAAGTCTAATTTTTTCCACAAAAAAGAATAAGCCCTAATATTATACATTTTTAAAGATATAAGTAAATTAATTAATTGTGACTGAGTGAATTTTAACTCTGATTTTTGAAAGAATTTGTAAAATATTAAACATTAGGTTGAAAGGTACTGGAAAGGATTGGTTTGCTTTTGGGAATAAGTTAAGTATCAATATTTGTCTTATGAATATATTTTCTTTCTTTTAATGCTAATAGTAGGCTTGAACGCAGGGCCTTATGCTTGTACTTGGAAGTTGGCACTCTATCACTTTAATGATGCCTTCAGTTCAGCTTTTTCTTGGAAATAATAGTCTCAAGGAATACATAGGCTGACTTTGAACTGTGATTTTCAGATCTCAGCCTCCTTGGTAACTATGAATAGAATTTCTATAGAAATTTGGTTAAGAGGGACTAGGGCTTTAACATAGAGCTACACAGTTGATAGGTAAGTGGTCTAACTCTTTGAGCCATTCCCCAGGCCAGAAGATTTTAAAAAGACAAATATGGCAAAGCTTTGGAAAAATGATAAAATTATCTTCTTTATAACTTTCTCTTCTGCTGCAAGTACCGTAGTATCTTTAAATGCTTAATCAAGGTACTTTCATAATCAAGGGTTAATAATAAACACAGTTATTTGGTCCTGTCGTGGGGCCTGAACTCTGGGTCTGGGCGCTCCCTCAGCTCAAGGCTAGCGCTCTACCACTTGAGCCACAGGCGCCACTTCCAGCTTTTGTCTTTTTGCTTATGTAGTCCTGAGGATGAGGAATCGAACCCAGGGCCTCATGAATGCAAGGCAAGCGCTCTACCACTGAGCCACCTTCCCAGCCCAGTTCTTTGTTCTTTAATATATTTGTGTAGCTTTAGCATCAAAAATACTATTCTTATAATTTGATGGTCTTGGCAAATACATATATTACTTTATATCTAATGTCATAAATAAAGATTTTTAGCATTTTAATTATTTGATAAAAATTTGACTTTTCTGTTTACAATAAATCTCTTTTTCCTCTGTGCATTGTTCTGATTTCAGACAACTATAGATCATACTTGTCTTTTGTCTGTTTATTTTTTTAAAGTGGAGTTATGTAGTAGGTACTGTGTTGTGTCTAGCTTCTTTTCCTCAGTGTAATATTTTTAAGATTCATCAGTGTCCTTTGGGTATTAGCTGATATTTTTCTCTGAATAGTATTATATTTCATCTGTCATTTTTTTGGGTTA